GCGTGGGGTGAAGGATGTGGGAGAAAGGCGCAGGGTCCCAGAAGTCGACAGCCGTCCATTCGGATCGCGCCCAAATGATCCATGTATTGCCTCTGAGAGGGTCTTGAAGCATTAGCATTGGCGCAAAAAAAGACAAAAAGCCTGTCCTTCCTTGGCTTTGAGTGCACATTGTGGCAAGAGCCTGATAATCACTGTTTGCTTACAGTTTTCACCGACGGGCCGGGACGCGCCTAATTGAAGGGCACCATCACAGAAGGGAGCAAGGCGTGGAGACCAGAGACGGCACAGCACAAAGTGAGGCGTTTGGTCATCGATTGGCCTTGTTGCCGTATTCGTGACGGCCCATCTCGAGAGTCAGTTGGAGTATCGTGATGTCGTCAGCTCTAGTTGGGCTTTGAGGCCTGACACGGCGTCATGTCTAATGCTCCGAACATACGGAGCAGTCATCGTCTCGAGACAACCAAGGCAGCTGGCTCTTGGGTGCCAGATGATGCCATGAACTCCTCAACCGAGCCGCTGCAGCGTACATAGTTCCCGCGTAGCATTGCGTCAAGCGAACATGCTGGTATCGGATAGGTGCAGTAAGAGATGCGCGAGAAAACAGATCGACCACGCTAAAGACCAGCTTCAGTTCAGTTGATGGAGGATTGGGGAGACGCTGAGACAGAATGAGGTCAGCTCCAGATTCAAGGCTGGGTAAGATTGGTGGTTGTTTGAGATGGTGGCATCGGTTCTCCATGGTTGGTGGTAGCAGCGACACGAGGACAGCAAACTCGTGTAGCTGATCCAAAAGGGCAATGTGACGGCCTCACTGTACTGTAGCTTTGAGATGATAGTCAGGCACCGCCTGAGCCCAAGGCAGCGGTAGTTACGCCCGATTTTCTCAGTGTCCTGAAGGAATGTCTAGAGCCATGGGATGAGCACAAGGCAACCAGGCACCGGCACCGGCACAGGTACAGTGCCGTGGTGAGCCCGACTTCAGGAACGCCGACGGCCCAGTGTGCCGACCCTCGAGAACTCCTGGGAACCCTGTCCTGCGAGCTTGAATGTCCCCAATATTTGATCTGTACAGTCATCATTGGAGTCGACAGGCATGACTGCGCTTCTGGAAAAAAAGACGCAGCGGCGGCAGCGGAAGAACCGTCGACATTACAATTGGCCGTGTAAGACAACATGAAGACTGAGGGAGGGCCGATGGCTTGGAACAAGACGAATTAGAGGCCGACACATGCATCCAAAGGTGCATTTTGATGGGTTGGCTTGGTGGTCAAGTCTCGGTTCGGCGTGCATGTTGAGCGCGTGCGCTGCCGGCGTAGAGGTGTGAAGACAATGCAGGGTAGAGCATTGCAGCAGGTGAACAATCGTCTTGATCGTGTAAGCTGGTTGCTGCAATGTTGGACCCGTCACTGTAGGACGGAAGCATACGTAGACCGGACTGGCAGATTTCGTGGCACCTTCGAGTACTCGACTATCTGTAATTGTGAGACATGGTCGTATGCATGATGCATGTCGACGGGTTTGAGCAAGACGCAGAACTACCTGGGCGCCACAGATGCAATGATAGGATCGCAAATGTGCAGCTGCTCGGATAGTTGAGCAAAGAGCGACAGAGGCAACCGTAAATCATGGAGCTATACCTAGCTTCTTTCCGCAATGGGTGTGAGATCCCCAAGCTCGGGGTTGATGGGATTGTTGGGAGATCTTCATGGGAACTGTTCGCGGACAGTCATGTCTCCAGTCTCAGAACAACACAGCCATGAGTTGGCATGTCTGCCCCGTTGCCTTGCCTGCCGATGCTGAAGCAATGGGTCCTGTCCTTTCGGGTGAGTCAATCCATATTGCCCGTCCAGCTTAGCAGTGCCCGACAGGGCAGTCATTATCAAGGCTGAGGTCGAAACTGTGGGGAGTCTGGTTGTACATTGAGGCCCAGTAGAGGCATCCCAGCCTGGATCCATGGCGGGGCTGACGGCAACTCCCCATATAGAAGCACTTTAGCTGGACTTGGGCGGCGGAGTGAGGTCTATCCACAACACCAGCCAGGCACCGTTGGGCTTGCCTCTCCGCAGTGAGGCTTGGTTTGAGGTATTCGTCATTGCAGCCTCGCCGCCAACTCTGTAGGCGTCCAGAGCCATGGCTAGCGAGCTCTAGTGCCCGTGCGACGGGGCAGACACAGCATGTGTAAGAAGGCTGACGCGTTCTAGGGTCATCGACAAGCCACAGCTTGGGCAAATGGAAGGCAGAGAGAGGCGATTTGGGAAGAGATTTACCAGCCAACGATCAGAAGGCATCCTTTCCAACTGCGCAGGGATTGCAGAGCTCTGTGCAACCCCCCCAGGAAGGTGAGGACGAAGAGGTGAGATGGCGTGGGATCCAATCGGTCGTGCGTCTGCGGAGTGCATCAGGTCCGGGGTCGCCGGGGGCCGAGGGATATTCTGGATAAAGGAAAGAAGGAAAAAAGTGTGTGCGATGGGCCTGAGTTGGGTGGTTGACTCTCTCCTTGGTTGGTGGAAGCTCGACGAGCTGATGGGTGGTAGAGGAAGATGACCAGGTCATCCTGGAGGAAAAAACGAGGATCGAGGCATGGTATAGGGTAACTCTGTCGGTAGTGACATTCGGAAGGAAGGATGAAAGGCAGTCACGGGCGTGCCTCGGAAGGAGGGCGACCAGGCTTGCTCTTGCCCTGTGAGAATTGCATCTCTGATCCATCCAGTCTCTTCAGCGGGTGGACTCGGGCAAGGAAGGTATAGATGGTGGCACTTGCACTTGCAACGTGCTCCCTGGGTCTCGGTGCAACGTGCAGCGACAGCGGAGAGGCCCGGGGGCGCTTAGGGGCACCGGCTGTCGCAGGAAGTTGCAGTCACGCAGCTTCCTTTCCGGGGAGGGCCCTCTTCTGCGACGGATTCAGGTGAGAGGTACCTGCCGTAACTGAGAGGATGGGACTCGTCGAAATTGATCGGCCACCTCAGATGAGATGAGAGACGGAAGGTACGTGACAGGCAGGGCCTTCAATTCACCCAAGCAGATTTTTCTCCGTCATCTGAGGCTCAAACATCAGGTAACAAGCACATGGCATCACCCATCTCAGGATCTGATCAGAGTCATTGAATCTCGTGCTCAGTCGCAAACTCTGCACTCAAACCCACAAGTTCAAGGCGATATTCGGCGCGAGCCACCATCTTGAATGAACTCTCAGGAAAATACGCACCTTCAGGGCACCCGCAGACCCAACCGGAACAGATGCCATCATCCCGTCTGCCAAACGGTCGGGGACACTCCTCATTCGGGGATCCCCTCCAAGGTCACGATATCGAAACGCCCAGGGCTTGACTGGACCGATTGGGGACGCACTGCCTGTTTCGTCTGCCGATGGTGAGTAATGAATGGGCAGTGAGCCAGCGCACGTCGACTTTTAACTCTGAGCTGGTCACTTCTGGAAAGGGCCAGTGTCAAACTTCCCCATTCCACCAGGATGTCGTGGGGGGAAGAGGCCTGTATTGTTGCCGTGATGATGCTTGACACCGGCGGGGTTTGGGGACTCTGGAGCAATAGAGTCATCAATATTGATGCTGTACATGCATCCGTGATCCAGTCGGCTCCAGCATTCTGGTGGAGGGAAACAAAGGGTCCTCCAGCTGAGGGATGTGCATCGAGGCCCCCGTTCGGTGCTGCGCTGCGCTAGGTCAAGGTCTGAAAATTCTCGACATGATCGCCTTAGTCGAATCAAGCTACAACTCCTTCATGATCAAGCTCATGCTGCTTACCGACACTGGATCGACTTGGACTGAACGAGATCCCGTCGATCGGCGTGCACGACAATCCGTCTCCCGAACTGAGAAGGGATGGTCACCCATCACCCCAGAGGGCCCGAATCGACGGGACGAGACAACAGCCCATCTGTGGTGTGACTATGAGCTCGGTATGAGCTCCAAACAGCTATTGCACCCCTGGCCATGGCCTGTCCGTGTGCGGTACACCGTCCCAGCGCCCTCACACGCGCACTTTGGCAGTCTCTCTAGTGGTCGACACCAGCAGCAGTGGACTCTGCGGGCACCCAGGTCCCAGTTCCGGGATCTCATCCGGGGCAGTCTTGTCCCCAAGCAGCCCCCACGGACGACGCCACAGAGCCATTGTGTGCTGAGAGACTCGAGATGCTCATGCTTGAGTTGAGATGGTGAAAAGTTGGAATGCAGCGCCCAGATTTCACCTGCCGTGGTTGTTGGCACCCCCGGAACGGCCAAGTTTTTCACGGCGATGTGACTGTCTGCCCACCACGAGTTTAGCGCAGTTCATCAGGCTTTGGGGGGCACACCTTGGTTCCCCCCTCGCTCTCGCACTTGGCTTCTGCAGCCAACGACGGAGGACAGTGATGCCAGGGCTGCTGTACCACCACTTGGTGTGCTGGAACTGCTGGCTGTGCTGGGGAGGCACTAGGGGGTGGCTGCTGAACGTTGAAGGCGACCGAGTCACTTGGGGCGAGGCGTTTCTTCTGCCTGTCCCCCGCCGTGGCGCGAGCGGGTTGACAGGTGGTCCGTCCCGCCAAAGCGCTACTGTACCGGCCAGCGAGCGGCCAGGTTCCCTGATGTGGCCTCGAGTCTATCCATGCTGGGATCCTCAGCACCTTTCTTACCCCTGGCCTCCCGGAGCTCCACTGGTTGCGTATAAGGTCAGGCTCCGCGGTGCCAAATAAGCCCCCCTCCCCACCCGCCAACGTCTCGTTACGAAGACCAAGGCAGACGACTTTATTTTATAAAGATATATATCCTTTGACAGCCTCCCATATCTTGATCCTGGATGTTCCGAGGTTGACATTCCAATCCAACATTGTTTGACTGTTTCATACCTGTTATGCACCAGCAAGCATCTGACTACACCACCACGACATCAAGAGAGCATAATACCAACTGCTCAACACCAACATCACTTACACGAACACCTTGACCGACAATTGTCATCCACTACGAATTCGACAAACGCCTAGTACTGTACCATAACCCATGGCAATGACGCCCGAATCGACATCACGGCGGCAACGAAAGGTTGTCATTACCACGTCTCCCGCCCCCTCCGAGTCAGACTCCCTTCGCGACTCGTACTTTTCAGAAGCCTCTCAATCAACCGCACCCACATCTTTCCATTCGGCATCTGGTTCCAATACCAAGGCCCTTGATGTGGCCGAAAATAAGAAGCCTACAACAGCCATGAAAGCCCCAGCAGCTGCCGAGCTGCTCTTCAACACCACCTCGTCCTCGATTGCCACATACGACTCCGTCCTTTCCGAGATGGCACCCCTGCGCCGAGAAGCAGATCTTGACGCAAGCGGGCAAGACGAAGAGGAGGACGACGAAGAGGACGACGAAGAGAGTGGTGATGATGACGAGGACGACGACGATGTGGAGGCCGACCTCGCGGACAAGGACTTCATCCTGTCTGACCCAGAGTCTCTTCATATCCCTCCAGTTTTGCCTCCCTATCGTGGCACTTCCAACGAACGCCCTTGTCGGCCATCTACGCCTCAGGACTTTGCCCGCCTGTTTCCTTCGCTCGATCGACTCGCTGTCCGTCACGATGACTGCACTTCGGATGGCAACATGAACCTCCGTGTCGACACGGTTGTTCCCTTTGGTCACGGTCGCCGGTCTCTTGCTGTCCAGCTGTTTCATCTGCGTATGCACGACCTGGCCCGACGCGAGTTCTCCTTGCGCCGTTATTGTCGCGATTCTGGCCGCGAAGTCTGCAATTCTAAGCGCTCCTATGCCCCAGCTCCTACGGGCACCGTGGCTGCTGCACGCCCAGCCCTGCGACGTTCCATGAGCTCGGCAGTACGCACCATGACTACACCCTTCCACCGTACCACGTCTGGAACACAGTCTATGTTTAAGCATGGCAACGCCACCACGACGTCTGCTGCTTCTGCTGACAACGCCTCGATCTGGTCCGGCTCGCATCACTCGACGACGTCGGAGCAGCCCTCAACCAAGGCCAAGCCACGCATGGTGCCAACCAACCGCATCAAGCTCGAGTTCAGCAACTACGCCCGCGTGGACATTGCCCGACGAGGAGGACGGACGAACAAGCGGTACGAGTTTGAGTGGTGGGGACACACCTACGCCTGGAAGCGTGTGATTGACAATAACCTGAACGTGGTGTCGTTCCACCTTGTGCGAGATGGCCATGGTGCTCCTGTCGCACACATCGTGCCCGAGATGCGCAGCCCTAACCAAGTGCTCGACGACGAGATGGCTGGTGCTTGGGTGACCCCCTGTTACATGTGGATCAGCGACAGCAGCATCATTGACGCCATTACCGACGTGGCCGAGTAAGTAATCTTGGACCCCTACGACGATGACCCTGGCTAACCCGCATGTTTAGTGTCATTATTGCCACCGGTCTCATCTCCCTTGTCGACGACTGCATCAAGGAGCGATGGCAGGCTAAGAAGCCTTCTCATCGTGCCATCCGCAACCGCACTGGTGACTTTAACCAGTCAAATCCACGCTCCTTCATGCAGAGCTTCTTCCAACGCCGACACTCGGAGGAGCATTCCTCTAGCCGCGGATCACTACGGTTTGGTCGCAAGCCTGTAGCCGCGTATTGATTACCTACCTACACTCGTATCAGCTCGCAGATTGATTTCGCCTCAAAACTTGGCAACGATATCTCTTCTAAAGCAAAGAAAGCTACGACAGAAGGAAGCCATTATTTCTCTTTTGAAAAAAGGACGTTGTGCGCGCCACTCCTTGCCTCGAGTTCACGATACCAAAATTTCTCTTCTTTTCTGTTTTAACATTTCATCTCTTTTTGTTTCATGTCACACACGACATTATACACTACATGTATGGCGATCTTGTTATTGGTATTGTCTATTTCACCACCGCCACGGGTTATTGGCGATGGTTCTTGGAGGCATTGTGATTGGGCATTTACGGGATGGGATCATGGGAAACGTCCCCCAAACGGTATCATGGCATGCGAAGGTGTTTTGGGAGTTTCTATGGATGGATGACGGACCACGGGAGGCGGGAAACCCCGGGCTTCGATCTGACTTGGTATTTCTTGGCGTATCTTCTTTTTTCTTTTTTACTGTACCCCGGATGGGTTTTCTCCTTGTTACCCCGGATCTTGGTCCGATGAATCTGGATATGGCACGACGACGACATTACATTACTCGCTGGATTTGGAGGTTGGTTGGAGCCAAGATGAAAAGCTCCCGCACATGATAGGTACACACTTGGATGAGACGCCATCATGACCTGATACGAAACGGCGAAATTGACAGATTTCTTGTTAATATTGCGCAAATATCTCTCACACTTGCATGACGATCAATGGATCTCGTCTCTTTGACAACTCATTCAATGATTCAGTGCTCGGTCCACGACCTCGGCGTCAAAGACCAGGCCAACCAACACACCCTTCCCTGTCAGACCAGCTGGAGATGCACCCCGGACCTGAGAATCGTGCCATCCGTGACGCCACAAATGCACGACATTGGCCCTGCCCGAGACGCGGGGAAGAAAGTCCGTCCCTTCCATTCTATACGTCCTGCAGACGTGCCTTGGTTTGCCAATCCGTCCCTCGTCCGTCCTTGTTGCCTGCATCAACGGTTACTAGCCTGCATCCAACCCGTCAGCCTGGCTACTCTTTTCGGAGCCGCAGGAGGGGTTGATCAGAGGAAAAACGTCAGAATCGATCCTCGTCGTACTGATCCCCCGCTCTGCCGAACCATGTGCCAAAGTCGAGCTTCATGAGGAGGCGGTTGATGCCGCCGACCCGAGAAGGCGCATAGCCGCCGCGCTCCTCGGCGTCGTCGACGTCTCGGGCTCTGCCACCGCGCTGGTCCTCGTCTTCATCGATATCCTCGGTAGCGGGGGTCCATTCTGCAGCGGCGGCGTCGCCCTCCCACTCGGCCGCAAACACGGGGTCGGACTCGAGGGCGCGCAGGGCGGCCACCACGTCCTCGATCCCGGAACGGATGCGGGTCTCGATCTCGTGGAGGCGGCGTTTGACGTCACGCTCTTCCGATTCGAGGTCGACAAAGGCGTCGACAACGCCCGCGTCTGTCTCTAGGTCTATCGAGGTGAAGATGGCATGTAGACGGTGCAGGTGGGCAACTAGGTGGTCGATGTGGATGAGGAGGTTGTACAAGGGTTGTGTAAAGGTGGGCTGGGTGAGGAGAAGGCGATGGATGAGGGTGCGAAGATAGAGGCGATGAGCTGTAGAGAGGGTTTGAGGATCGTGGGGAGGAGATGAGTCTGGTGTTTTGTGAGTGTTTTCCTGGGCAACAGGACTGTCGTCTTCTTCACGCAGCCATAGATCGTCGTCATCCTCCTCATCGTCTTCACCCTCTCCGGCTTTATCTTCATGCCTGGTTGTTGGTGTTGTCGCTCCTGACCGACCGTGCTTGGGATTATTGACTGTCAACCACTCATTAAAACCCTCCCACAGCCCAGCTACAATCTCCGTCTGGAGATAGGCTTCTGTCTCTGCGAGGAAAAAGATGGCAGCGCTGGCGGTGGTCCAAGAGCTGCGCATTGATGACGCCCGCGCCGTCCACCGTTTCCGGAGCATGATAATCTGGTCCCGATCACCTCGATGAGATGGGTGATGACGTCTGAGGGATGTGATTTTCCACAAATCGGTAAGTCTGATGTGCGCCCTGCGCATGGAGAGCAGGTAGGCGTTGATGCACGAGTATATCTGGATATCCGAAGGTGATAGCACCATGTCCAACGGTGGCGGGATCTGAACTGATAATACAGAGGGAACGGAGAAGAGGAGGTTGCGGAATGGCGACTCGGATAGTAGGTTTGCAGCATCGTGGCTCAGACCGGATCCAATGCCCAAAGGCGTAGACGTCTTTGCCTTTGTGAGATTGAGCCGTAACAAGTCTCGAGCAAGCTCAAGTTGCTCATCTTCTTCGGCGTGTTGACCTTGCATCGACGCCAAAACCGCCCATGTTCTGGCGAGGACCGCAGCGACTTCACCTTCCTTGACAGTCACATTCTTCAGACCGTCTCCCTTTTCATAGGCCAGATTGTCGGCTCTTCTCCATCGGCTGCGTATCTTTTCATCCGCCTCGTGGGTCAGCTGCATGGCAAACTCTCCACGACCCAGTAGAAAGAAATCTCTCAGGAGCTGCAGCATCTCTGTCACCTTGGCCAACGGTAGTAGTTTCTGTAGTGTGTTTTCCGAGAGGGATAGTCGTACAGCCGTGATGGCCCTCGAGAAGTTGGTGCTTTTTATGGGAAAAGAAAGACTCGACAGCTCCTGTAACTTGGACGATAGATGGTCAAGTCCTCGTAGTCCCGAGTCAACGCTGCTTCTGACTCTGATGTGATTTAGTGATTTTCCAATAAAGAGCATCGAAGAGGCTGTAGCCGGCGTCACAAAGGCAGGTAGCAAGCTAGCCCGTGATATATACTCCTGGTCAAGTCAATAGTCGTCCTTGTATGTGTGAGATTAAACCAACCTCGTCAGAATCTTGGACGTTTTGCACAAAAAAGTCCTCGATTCCAAAGCTTGGAAGTCTTCCGTATAGTATCCATGCCGATACTTGTTTCAGCCAAGCCGTCTCGGCCACTGTAACAAGACTCATGGCAGTGTCTTGCACATCTTGATATCCGCTCTGTAGCTCGAGCCGTAGTCGGTCCATCAGATGAGCTCCATGACACACCTCGCCCTTTTTATCCTTGGCCAGCATAAACTGCACCATCTCCCATAACCAGTCCATTCTCCTAGTCCAGTCCTTGAACTCTCCCACCACCGCCGTCAACGGCACGATATTATACGCCCCCACCAACTCGGGGTCATCCCGCAGAATGCTCGCCTCGACCTCGAGGACCTTGCGCTGAAAAGCGGACAGATGTATCGTGTCGATGGCTGTGGCGACGGCGCGACAGATGGTCGACGGGTGGGCGTTTGCTATCTGGGCCGTGTAGCTGATGAGCTTGACGTGGACGTCGCTGAGATGTGCGGCCGAGGCGAGGAGCTGACGCTCGGCAGGGGATACGCCGGAGAGAGCATTTGGCTGGGAGGTATCGGTTCGAAGGAGGGGGGATGGGTGTCCCGAGAGGGAGAGGAGGATTTCGTGGAGCATGACTTTGAGCTGATGGTATGGTTAGCGGTGATGCTGGGCTTGGCTGGGTTGTAAAGCAACATACCGATTTTGCGTCCTTTTAGACTTTATCCAAACTCTAAGACCGCGAATCGTGATAATAATGAGTCCAATCAGTTCGAAACGGCACATTAATCGAAGTTGATCGTCTCAAGTTCCAATATCGAAGTGGTTGCGACCCATCGAGGGCGCCGTATGATGGTCCAGGATACGGTCACGGTCGGAAAACGAAGAGGGATAGAGTTTGGCAATTTGAAAGACAATTCTTTACTCCTTTAATAGACCTAAAAAGCACCTGGCCATATCATCCCGCCTTATGTTCCGAACGGGCTGTGTCTCCAAGTTGTCCAAGGTTAAAGTTATCTTGGCGACGCGGTTAGTTTGCGACTGCCCCGCGATCACACGTGACGTCAAATTGAGCTTCATGCTCATGGCATCTTTGACACATGGAACAACAACTGCAAAGAACATGAAAACAAGGGGTATCACTTGATAGTTCAAGACAGGCACCCGTTTTAAGAACGTGTTCAGAAGGATAATAATTAGCTCAATTCTCGAGTTTCTTAGAAACTGCCATTAAGAAATCCATAGGTAGGCTCGCATGCAACTGGGTTTCCCACCAACACCAATTCTTGGATCTTTACCCTTCATTATCGCAGCAAAAGAAGAATATCCTCCCAATCTGACCATCATGTTGACCGTCATAATGTTCCCTCAGAAAGGACCCTTGGCTGGCCTCTTGCCGTTGGGATCGTAGCCGCTGGCAATGCTCACGTTATCCCCATAAGTGCTATGCGCACCCTTTCCGTTTCCATCTCGGGCAGCAATGAGCTCGGCGTTGCTCTCCGTACCCCCCACGATGATCTCACCGCCTCCCTTGACCTTTCCAACAACCATACCCTTGGCAACACTCTTGAGAATAGCGCGACGTGAGACTCCAGTCACGTCAATGTAGACAAGTCCCACGTTCTTGAAGCCGCCTCCCAGATGTCGCGATACCTCGCCGGCCTCAGCGCCCCAGCGATGACCAACCACTGTGGTCACGCTAGACGACGTTCCTGTAAGCAGGTTGCGGCCGGCTTGTTCGATACCGTCAACAACCGTGTTGAAGGCCATCAAGCTCTTGTTGAGCATACCGGGCTTGTACGTGTCGATGGCGTTCCCGTCCTTGTCAAAGCCTCTGGCCCGTCCATCCTTACGGCGAGTAACGCTTGCGCCCAAGTTCTGAGCTAGATTTCCGATCGTACCAACTGTCGAAGATGAAAAGGTAGCTGCTCTATCCGAGATGTTGTTGATGCAACGAATGCGGTCATGAGTAGATGGAGCAAACGTGACAGGCTTGGCATTTGGCTTGGTGTTCTTTGTGAAGCTGTCAGCCTGGCTCTGCAACGTCCTGGAGACGACATCCGATGTCGTAACGATAAGCCGGGATGCCTTGGTGGCGCTGTTGACTATCGTCGACTTTTTGTAGGCGGGGTGTATGTCCATCTCCATGTATGCCTGCGAAACAGGCTGCACAGAAATGTTCTGGCCACCATCCGCAGGAAAAGAAATCTCAACGGGTTCTGGAAATATGTTAGTAGAAGCACAAACATCATGCCGAAGGACTTTTTCGCATACCCTTGGAGCCTGGGCGGACCTTGCTGTCTTCAACCACCTGGTACGTATCGGTAAGTTCTCCGATGACACTACCATCTTCCTCATCGACAAGCACAATTCGACCTCCGGCATGAGAACTATGGCTGCCCTGAACGTAGGCCTCCCCTGGGTTGTAATTGGCCGGATTGTAGGCAGGGAGCTCTTCGCCAGTAGCCTCGCGCTCCTTGGCTAGGGCCGCCTTGGAGTCTCTCGGTTGGGGCGCAGGAGCTCTCTCGAGGAAAGCGGTACACTGGGCGAGGATAGTCTCAAAGGTATCGACGTCCTCTTGGACACCTGATCTGCTGTCGAGGGACGGGAACTCGATCCGAGTGAAGGCGCCGCTATCGGGGCCGAGATCCCAGCGGGGGATCAGGTAGCTCTTAGGTGGTTGGTGGTAGATCTGAGTCGTGGCAGGCAAGGGGAGGTCGAGCTCGGGAGGGAGGTGTAGATGAAGGTAGAAATCCTCTTCGCCGTCGGAGCCAACCCCTGAGGGCTCAACAAAGCCCGACGAGGTCGGGACCATGAGCAGTGACAAGGTCTGCGGCCCCGAACGGGTGAGAGATCGCTCCTTGCCATTAGAGATGTGGTAGGCGTTGATGCCCTCCACAGCGTAGAGGAGCTTTGGATCCTGATCAAGCCTGTGTTAGTACGAAAGGGGCGCTAAGGGAGGGCGAATTACAGACGTCATGGACGGATACCATGATGGGATAACTGGAAGTGAGGTTGACTTACGTTGTGTCCCGAAGCCATGTTTGCTGAGCTCTCGTAATCTTCCAATACAGAGATTCGTATACAGATTCTTTGAGGAAGAAGGGACAGGTTGTTAAAAACAAGGAAGGGGTAGGAGAGTGTCCCAAGCTTGGAACTCGCGAAGTTAGAGATGGAGGGGTTGGTTTTATGACGGCGCTCAGGCCAGAGATGGTGCCTGACAAGCGCGATGCGCGGCAACACAGCAGCAATGCGTTAAACTGTTAAAGAAATAGCTTATGATACGGCGGCTGTTGCAGGCGGTCTATTCGAGAGAAGGGTACGAAATTGTCGCAACGGGGACGTTGGTCGCAAAATATCCATCATGGTCAAGCAGTAGGGCGCCTGTCGGCGCTTATGCGTGTGGTGAGCTGCGAGTTGTGAGGCCTCTGGGAGGGGGCGACGTCATTCATTGGTGGGCGCAATCCATTGAGGGTGCCGCCACCGGAATATGAGCGAATAATGTCGAAGTGCTTGCTCTGGCACCATCTTTATCAAAGTTGATCACGTACGTAATGTGCGTCGAGACCATTCTTTTCTTGCCGTGTCTTGGGAAAATCAACAAAAAAAAGTTGTTGACCTGGCAAGCTGAACAGCTTGAGATTGCGTGTGCGGCAGGGCGAAGCAGTTAAGCTTAAACGGCCATACCTGTTATAGTTTGCCCGGTGACAGCCAGCCCGCTCGGGGACAGCTTGGCACTCTCGGTCGGGTCCATGTCCATACCAACATGTCACTGCATGCTGTCGTAAAGAGGCGGGATACAGGGATCTATCCTCGGCATATCCGTGGGAGTTGGGCTGTCTGTGGGGGTTCGCCGTGAGGTAACTTTTCGCTTGGAGTTGGATGCTAGTCGTTGCCTGTTGTCAACAAGGCTCTGGCGGTGTCTGGCTATTCAACCGAGATGGACGGTGGTCTTCCAGGAAGTGGATTGTCGTCGTGACTGTAGGGGATGATGAGAACATCTCCTAAGTAGAAATCTATGATGTGAGAGAAATGGAAAAACGGAAGACGATGGAGTCACTTGGGATCCATGGATCCATAAACCAGGGATTCGACAGTCAGCAGCCGAGTAGAAACTGGGTAGATTGCTGTAAATTGGATGGATGCCCGGGATGTTCCATACTGATGAAGTTGTAAACGCTCTCCTTTCACCTTCCTCGAAGGCTTTTTAGCTTCATTTGTGCCTTCCTCCAAGAATTGATCCTTTCTAAAAGGAGGCAGGCGCGGTCACGAACCACGTGTGTCTCCGTAAAACGATGGGACCTTACGATGGAACTTTTTATCACTAACAATTACATACAACTTCATTGAACATTCATTTGTTTACCAGTTTTTCGGAACCAGGACCCATCTTTTGACTTCTAGTCATGGTTGGCTGTGTTACATACGCATTCTTACAATTGCCGCCGCTCTCACTTCAGCTGCCGGTTACAGCTCCTTGCGCCGTAACTTGACTGCACGCTACGGTGCACCATCCGACACAATATGAGCAACGATGTCTGATGATCGAATACGCCCCTCCCCTTTGCATCGTGTTATTGAATTGCGTCCCGAGGCTTCAATTACCATTTGACCTTTTACTGGTCTCGAATTGTACTGGGAGAGCTGCTCTACGAAGCCCACGCGGGTCCATCCTTTTGGTCAGAATCGTGCCACTAACAGGTTCCACATGATCTCGATGTCCATCCACATCATCGAGACTGGAAACTCGCCGATGTCGCTGGAGAGGAGTGTGAGGCTCTGCAAGTGCTGTGCTATCCAATCGCCCGAGATGCTCAAGTCACGGCGCTGCTACTGGCGGAAACCCCGACGAAACATCAGCGACAACTTACATGCAGCCCTATTGCATGCATACCTAAATCGACTGTCTGACAATCCCTTCATCAGTCGCTCTATCAAGGCCCGAGCGCAGTTGGACAATTGCACGATCGCCAAGGAAACTAATGACAACGCCCTCTTCCGCATGCCTGTCGCTCCCCTGGCTGCCCTTGGCGTTTCCGAATAGGGAGTCCTCGTAGGGTCGTCCATATAATGGTTCCTGGTTTCATCATCACGAGTCAATCCCTCATTACTACGTTGTTCGTAGTAGGGATGCAGTGGCGCACAAGTTGGGAGTACAGCCATCTCTTGGCTCTCAACGCCAAGGCGATTTAGCACCCGACTCTCATCTCTCTGCCTGCCGTCATGAGCGCATGGATGCTAGAAAAGGAAGTATGGATACACGCTGATGCGTCCACTACTGCACGTCTTGTCTGCTCCTAGCCTCCCAGATTCCCTTCTCCATGCTCGGAAAAGGTCGAGAGTCGATCTTGGGGCCCGCCCAGTGCACGTCAATTAGTTAGGAGAATCAACCCCCACCGGAACGCTGGGGAAAACGGCCGGCGGCGGCCTCGGATATTGCACCGAGGGGTGTCAAAACTTAAGTCAGCCCCAGATTTGACCACAGGACAGAAGCTCTTCGTGACGATAACTGGTACGTTTTACCCCATCATTACGTAGTGGCTCATGCTATTGCGAAATCGGATGCCTTGCTCAGCGTGGTTGGTTTACTCACACCGAGGCGTAGCCATCGGATGAGGCGTCGGCTTGCCTCCCGATGGCACGACCACTTTCAACCTCGTGGCTGGCGGTTTTGGATATGTTTTGGTGGTCTTCGTTGAGAAAACAACAGCTATTGCACAGCAATCATACGACATGCTTGGTCTATATTTGCGGGTGATCTGGTTGGCTAACATCTTCTACCAAGTTAGGCCTTGGATCTAGCCGGCGGCATTCCCTCCCGTACCAACCCAAATAGCGAGCATGGGCCGTTGTTTGGGCCGTGATGTCTGGACACATCTCGCGCTCACCATGCCCACCGAGCTGCGGGACCTACCCGCGTGGTGGACACCGCGAGCCCCTGCTCAGGGACCAGACTTCCCTGCTGCCACGGCCACGGCTTCAACGGACGAACTGGTCTAGCTAGCCACGCCCTTCGGCGCACACAAGGAAGCGGCACGGCAGAGACATGCGGACTTCAAATTGAGCTCTGTTGGTTTCTACTGTGGGGTCAACCATCGGAGACAAGATGGATCGCTTCGTTAGCGGCTCCTATCCCCTTACCCAGCTCTCCCACACGCCTGGCATGCAGATTACTCGCCAAGGTTTACCATCTTCAGGTACCTAGGGAGACCAGGAGGGCGTGCGCATTGTAGCCAACGTGCTATGAGGTCTGAAGCCTGGTACATGCCGAGCACAGTAGGCAATTAAGCGGGAGGCGGTGGGCCAGGCATGACAACTAATAAGTCGGGCCTGAGAACCTAGCGGTCGGCTCGGAAGTTTCGTCTGTAGTTCCCTTTCATCGGCTTCTTCTTGAGCAGTTCTGCCTTTGGCTTACCTTCGACGTTACTGAATTACCATCTCGGCCAAGAGTAGTTGCTTTTCGCCAGAAAACTGACCCTGCTGTCGCCACAATGCGTTCCTGAAAGCAGAACCAGGTGAAGCTTTCCTCGAACTTGATCGCTCCGTCCAGTACACTCGAGAGACTGGGCAGTCGACTGTATCGTCCAGGCTCGCAACACTGGCTCGGTTCAACTTGCGACCTCCTCCCGCGGAAACTAGAAGTTGTTGATTTGATCGGTTTGGTCATTCGATCATCGATTACGATATTTGGACTTATATCTGTGGAGTTCGCATCTGCTCTCCAACTCGATCAGTGGTCTTTACGGGCGACTTTGACTCAACGGGTAGTGACTTCTTCGGGGATTGTTTCTCCTTCTCTTGAATTTTGAGATCACACTGGGTTCTTGTTCAGAGCCCAACATCGCCAAAATAGCTTCTCAACTTCGCATCCAGTCAATACTTTCGCCTGCGGACCCCGAGGCTGATGAGCTGTCCAACGCATCCTCGAACCAGTCAACTCCGAAGCGCAAAATCGCGGTGCTTTCTTCTGCCCCCGAGGCCACTCCGCCGGCCTCACATCGGGTTGGTTTCCTGGACGGACAAACCAGGTCTGATGTCGGCGGTTTCGAGCCAACCGGGGGCTATACCGACGATCATCGACCTATTTCTCACTCAAGTGCCAGAGAGGGAAAGAAGACTTCGAAAACGAGGCAGCCGATGAGGTCTAGCATTGCTTGTCTGAGATGCCGCAGATCGAAAATTAAGTGCGACAATGATGGCGGTAACAGTCCCTGTGATACTTGTATCAAGGGAGGCCACCAGTGCCAGTACCCGGAGGCCACATCTCTTGCTCCCAAAAGAATTGAGCCTCCAGCAAGCGGAAGGCAAGAGAAGGATGGCCCTCACGAAAGGAAGAGGGCAAGGAAAATGGACGAAGCACCTGGTTTCGACAGTACAAAATCCACAGCCTACGCCGAAGATATTCTCGCCTACCCATTTCTAACGATAGAGTTGTGGGATCAGCTATTTGCCATCTATAAGCAACATTTCGCGACTGAGCTGTCTTTCATTCATCTCCCAACTTTGAAGGAGAAAACGAGTCGCAGACAAGGCCAGAAACAGCACCATTCGTCCGAGCTGAACCTGGTTCTTCTTGGTATCCTCACCCTCACGGCTCGCTTTCATACGGACCTCGTCAAGTACGTGACACACCTGTCAAGCCAACAAGGCGGGAACGTGCGGCCACGGACATTGCAACACAACCCCGACCCCATGGCCGCCTCTGAGTTCTTCGCCAATGCCCTCACGACTGCAATTGGCCCCCTGAGAACAGCCATGACCGTTGTCACTGTGGAAAGAGTCCAGGCATTTCTGATGCTAGGACTATTCGAGTGGAGTCAACGCCACACGTTTAGTAACTCTAGCGCTTGGATGTATGTTGGTGTTGCAATACGGATGGCAAAACTCCTCAAACTTGGCCTTGACGATCACATTATGAGGATACGAGAAGCTCGCGCCGCCGTGGCCAATGAATCTCGAACGAGGTCATCTGAAATTGGGATCATAAGGGAGTCTCGAAGACGCACCATGTACAGTTGTCTGGTTCTTGATCGCATGATGGCCTGCGGCAGCGAGCGGACCATGAGCATGCCCCTGGAGAGCATTGGGATACAACTGCCATGCTCAGAGATGGCGTTCGACCTTGCTTTGGATGTTTACACAGGCTATCTAAGATGCCCGGAAGAATCTGTTTCACGAAAAGTCAACGACGACAGTACCTTGAGCCGATTTGTGCAGTTGGTTGAGATATGGAGCGATATTTCCCACTACAGTACGGCGGGTGGCCGCTCGCAAGAAACCGCATCGCCGTGGGATAGCCGATCGACATTCTACCGGCTGAGAGACAGATTGGATCGATTTCATAAGGACCTCCCGGACACATTCACGCTGTCACGTCAAAACTATTACCGCCATGATAATCACCAAGCTACGAATACGTATGTATCATTGCATATGCTATCTTCGATGTGCCATATCATCCTTAACCGAGAGTATCTTCCATTTCTGCCCATCCGCTGTGGCAGACCACAAGGACCCCTTGCGAGTGCACAAGATCAAGCACGGGGCCAGCTTTGGGAAGAAGTTGCTGACAATGTCTTCCGAGCGTCCCGAGATATCCTGGATCTGGTTGAAATCTGCAAGGACAAACTTCCTCAATCATGCTTGACCGTGTTTGCCGTATGGCTATCCGGCTTTATGGCTGTATACGCCCATCAATTCCCCAGCATGGATATTCAACAACGCATGGCAGTTTCGGAAAGCATTGAACGGGACATGGATGAGAGCACCAGTGTGCTTGAAGGCGCGACAACAAGGACGTCTTGTCAGGCACTGCACAAGCTGACGAAGTATCTTCCGGTGGCACAAAATTACTTGACATACCTGGAAGAATTAAACCAGTACTTTGTGGATGCAAAGAACCATTTCAATCAACAGGCTAACAACACCGACCCCATGTCCAACCCTTCCTTTGGGGTTAGGCGATTGAGTATACGACCTGTTGGTGATACTGGCATGAATGAGTCGTACACAAAAGCGGACAAAGCGTCTCCTCAATCACCCTCGGATGATGGACATCGATCTCAACATGACGAAGGGTCTGACAGGTCGCGTGGTAGCAGCTGGGAACCTGTTCGTTCGATGGGCGCGCTAGAAGATAATCAGGGGGTGTCGAGCTACACTCATGGCCCCAACATCAGCCCTGCATTATCGTTTTCAGCCATGGGGAGTTCAGCTGGACTACGATCCGGATTAGCTGAATCACCCCCAGTTGTCTTGGAACATCGAGGAGAAGGGCTATCTGCCAAGGCAGCCCCTATGGGTGGTGCAGGCAAGCCTTCGTTGTCGGAAAGCCAACTGGTACTGCCAGGCCTTGACGAAGGCCTCCTTCAGCAAAAAATTCCGGAATTTTCGATGGAGAAGCTTGAAATGATCGAGTCGCAACGAATCGGGAAGATATTGAATGACTTGGAAGAGTTTGCGGGTGCGGGCTCATTGGGAATTGGGATCCCCTAAACAGACTTGGACTTGGGATGGTGTTTCTGGATAGACAAGGCTCAGGGAGGCTTTAACGACCAAAACAGATGTAACGAATTCGTCATGGGAATCCGGAAACCAGAGGAGTCGGTATGTCTGGGATGCATGCAAGACTTATGCGTTGGGATGGAAAAGAAATGTATGGTGTGGAATTCTGCTGGGATTTTGGAAGCTGGTTTGAATAGATGCATGAATTGGGAGGCGTTGGAGGCATGACTGAATTAGCGAGACATCCAAAACGAAGATTGCATGGTCCTTGGAGTGATTTGGGTATGTATGGTGTTTAGACTGATAAAATAGATGATTTGAGGGTGGAGGTTGATGTATGGAAAGTTGTGAAAGAAGAACAGGACGAGGCAGGAGCTACCCATGCTACTGCAGCAAGCAGGAGCTCGCCGAATTGCCCCAGCAGGCAGGAACCGATGGGATACCTAACCGGGCAAACAAATCATGGGATGCCTCATCTTGCCTCCTTCACTGTCAACCCGCGGACAAACAAAGAAAGACAGCCAGCCTTCTTTTGAGTTGTTTTCATAGCCACCCCCACGCTGCGGTCAGGGATATACAATCTAGGCATGCACAGCATTTGACTCCATCGTCCGTGTCGACCCATTGATGGGCTTACGGTAACGGCTTCAACGAACAAGATGACGGCAATTGACAATCATCTCAGCGTTTTGGTACTGCTCACACGAGCAAGGCCGGGCCGGTACGCATACAGTCGGCAAAACCTGCCGGATCATCGAGAAAACTGAGGCCATGCGGGCGGGTCTCTTGGACGTGGGATAGCATTCCTTCCAGGCGCTCTCGCCCACCATTCTCGGGGAGCTGGGTGGTTGCACAACAGCCTCTAGCTCAGCTTGTGAAACCAACGAGAAGAGCTCAGCACAGAGCATATGACGTCGGCATCAAGTCAGACTTGCCAAGACTGGGCAAATGCATGTCACCAAGCCCAGAAGTGCTTACCCCTTGTCAGATGCTTCCAAATCAAGCACCCCTAGTGGATGGTCCAGGAGCGCACAGAGGGGTCTGCAGTCCGCATGCCGGAAGCCTCGCGGGGAGCTACACGACCACTCGACGACCAAGAGAACAAGGAGCAATCTTATCTCCAGATCGGCGAACCCCGTTCCACGTGCGACCCTCGGACGACGACTTGATTCCAGTCCATGACCCGTACAATCCGGTTTATGTCGCAGGCAGGGCGTGCGGCGAGGACGACGGCCAAGGTAACCGTGGCTTCTGCAGGAGATGGTGCAGTCGGTTTCGGGAATGCTGGAGCAGATGAGGAGGTCAGGATGTGGGATACCGTGCGTACAGTACCATACAAGCTGAACCGACCTCCCGGATCCCCCATATCTCGAATATCTGGGGTAACTGTAAGTCGCCTTTATCACGCAAGATAAGGCTGAAGTCCCGAAGCACCATGCACAACACAACAGCGAAGGCGAGCGCCATTGATCATCTTAAATACCCCGACACCAACCAGGCGACGCGGCACCATCGATCCCTCCCTTCCCAGGGAGCTCGACGCTCACCCCCAAATATCAAACATCCCGCAAGCCTGATACCTCGGAGCTGGCCTCGTGAGCTCTTCCCAGCATCGCCTCCCACGCGCGTGGGGCGTGGGGCGTGATGCTCATGACGTCCTGATTTGCCAGCTCCCAACCTCTCCCACTCTCTCTCCACAAGCGCTGATGCTTGCAAGTTTGGAGCTGCAGTCCATGACAAACTTATTTCGAAATGGTTCACCGTGAGAGGCCCGGCAAGATATGATTCCACCTCCCACCGCTCCGACACTTGCGGAACGGAGGTGGATTTGCTTTCTTCGGCGCCCAGCCGGCCTTCCATGTACCGCCTCCAAGTGGACCGCTGTTCCTGGCTCAGACTCTCATCGTTGCCCCTTCGGTATCATGACGATTCACTGAACTAAGGATAGTGTGGCGCCCCCCCGCGTTGTTTGGCCGTGTCCGCTGGCTCGGCTCAGACGCCTTGCCCCCAAGGATGAGGAGTTGTCCGAGATGTTCTCCACTCAGGAGGCAGAGATCCTCAGGTACCTCGGAGCAGCTGCGTTGGAGGGGAGGACTACTGACGAGGCCGACGCCCTTGGATGCGCCTCTGCTCTTGGTCTTGTTGCGCGTTATAAAATATAATACCTTGGCTCCCATCAGTCCACATCCCTAGCACGTCCCGTCCCGAGCTGAAGCGTCCTCACTGTTTCGTTGTCATTTGCGTTTGCTTTGCAATGCCTTCTTCCGTCAACGCGCCTCCGGCCGTCTTTCAAGGGGCAAGGCCCGCGGTGAGCAAGCCATCACCGGCGCTGCCAGATATCATTGATATTCGTGGTGAGCATGTTGAGATCAACTTGAAGGATCAGATCATCTCCCAGTTCAACCCTGAAGATGGGCCCCGCAAGCTTCCCACGCTCCTCTTATACAACGAGAAGGGACTACAGATCTTTGAGGATGTATGTTTTCGTCAGGACCATTCTACTCACCATTGCTTATACTGAACCAGATCACGTATCTGGATGAGTATTACTTGACCAACTATGAGATTGAGGTGTTGAAGCGGTCGTCCACCGAGATTGCGAGGCAGATCCCTGAGGGCTCCATGGTGATCGAGCTAGGAAGCGGGTCAGTTGATTCCCTCAGTATGCCGACCGCGCTTCTAACACGATCAAGGAACCTACGCAAGGTTTGTTTGCTTCTGCAAGCATTCGAGGACCTCGCAAAGCCCATTCAGTACTTTGCATTGGATCTTTCTCGCAAAGAGCTCGAGCGTACCCTCGCACAAGTGCCCGACTTCAAGTATGTGTCGTGTCACGGCCTGCTGGGCACATATGATGACGGACGGGAATGGCTCAAGCATCCCTCCCTCACCGGGCGCTCCAAGTGTATTCTTCATCTGGGATCCAGTATCGGTATGTTTTTGATGAGAACTGAGAATTTTTATCCACTAATTCATCATCTCAGGCAATTTCTCCAGAGATGAAGCAGCAGCCTTCTTGGGAGGGTTTGCGGACGTTCTCCGACCTTCAGATTCCATGATCGTAGGTGTCGATGCCTGCAATAACCCAGCCAAGGTCTAGTAAGTGAAACCGTCGCCTCACAATCAGCCTCGCTAACCAAGTTTCAGCCATGCGTACAACGGTGTGTAATGACTTGCAGCAGCCATGGGAGCAATGCTAATGCGACAGTTTTATACAGACTCCAAGGGGCTGACCCATCAGTAAGCCAATCATGAATCAACCTCGGCTCTCCAGGACTAACAGAATACACAGATTCATCCTCAACGGCCTTTCCCATGCCAACGAACTCCTTTCTGAAGAAGCCTTCAAGGTGGAAGAATGGAGGGTCATCGGCGAGTACGTGTACGATGATGAAGGCGGCCGCCATCAAGCCTTTGTTGCACCCACTCGCCCGACCGATGTCCTCGGATCGAGAGTCATGCCACATGAGCGAATTGAGATTGAGCAGAGCCTGAAGTATTCAGACGAGGAAACAATGACGCTCTGGGCCCAGTCAGGCCTGACCGAGATGGGTCGTTGGAGTCGGGGAGACGAGTATGGTAGGTTGCATCTCCTCGTGATCAATATTCCCACCCCGGAAACTGGATTTTGAGGCCCCTGGGGTTGTGCATGCCCCGGACTACCCCGCGAATCAGGTCAAGACATGCATCCAGTGACCCGACGGCTGCATATTGGTATTTCCCTTTGTGGCCCGGGTCGGCAAGTCTAGGTCTCGTTTGTTAGATGACGTGGGGGGTTTAACAAGAACAAGATATTTAGAGACTGGGCAGAATGGATACTAACAACTACCTATCTAGGCCTCCACATGTTGCAAAAGTCCGCCATGCCATTCAGCTTGATTCCGTCACTCTACGCCGCCGAGCCGCTTCCTGCAGTCCAAGACTGGGAGGCCTTGTGGAAGGCATGGGATGTAGTGACCCAAGGGATGCTTCCTCATGAGGAGCTCAACGAGAAACCCATCAAGCTTCGAAACGCATGCATCTTTTACCTCGGTCACATTCCGACCTTCCTTGACATTCAGTTGACCAAGACTACTGGTCAAGCTCCAACTGATCCCGCATACTACTATTCCATCTTTGAACGCGGAATTGACCCCGATGTGGACAACCCCGAGCTATGTCATACGCACTCTGAGATCCCTGATGAATGGCCTCCAGTTGGAGAGATCATAGAGTATCAGGGAAGAGTGCGATCCCGAGTGAAGGCCCTATATAGAGATGGCGCAAGCAAGATCCCTAGGCACATTGCGAGGGCCATCTGGGTCGGATTCGAACATGAGTTGATGCACATCGAGACTTTGCTCTACATGATGCTACAGAGCGACAAAACACTACCGCCGCCTCATACGGCACAGCCTAACTTTGAGAAGATGGCTAAGCAGGCGTACGAGGCGAGAGTGCCGAACCAGTGGTTCAATGTCCCTGAACAAACCATCACATTGGGCATGGATGATCCTGAGGATTGTACCGATACTTCTGGTCACTTTGGCTGGTATGTTAGATATCTTCTACTGATCATCTCGTAAAGCTAATATGTTACAGGGATAATGAGAAACCAGCTCGGCAAGCCAAGGTCCACACCTTTCAAGCTCAGGGGCGACCCATCACTAACGAAGAGGTATGGATTGAGAATGCCAGTACATCCATATGTCTCTAACTTGCATTGTAGTACGCTCAATATCTATACAGCACCAAGACCAACAGCGTGCCAGCATCGTGGTCTTGGGATCCATCCAAGACAGTGAACGGGAGTGCTAATGGCAGTTATACCAACGGTCACTCGAACGGTCATACCAATGGTCACTCTAATGGTCATTTCAACGGCCATTCTAATGGGCACGCCAACGGACACTCAAATGGACATGCCAATGGGAACGGCCATGTTAGCAACCAAGTCCCAGACTCGTTTCTCGAGGGCAAGTATGTCCGAACCGTTTATGGGCTCGTGCCCCTCAAGCACGCTCTAGACTGGCCCGTCTTTGCTTCGTATGATGAGCTTTCTGGTTGTGCCTCATGGATGGGTGGAAGAATTCCTACCTTTGAGGAGGCCAAGAGCATATATGCGTACGTCAACAAGCAGAAGAGGGCTGATGCGGAACGGATCCTTTCAAAGACGGTGCCAGCAGTTAATGGGTAAGCAACTTGATGAGCCCTTCTTGGTTCAATACTCACATGCATATAGTCACCTTGTCAATGATGGCGTCGAGGAGACACCACCTTCCCAATCTTCCGAATCGGCCAAGGACAGCCCCTCGAAGCTGTTCCTTGACCTGGCCGACGCCAACGTCGGTTTCCGTCACTGGCACCCCATGCCAGTGACATCCCAGGGCAACAGGCTTGCCGGTCAGTCTGAGATGGGCGGTGTGTGGGAGTGGACAAGCTCGAATCTCAAGCCACACGAGGGCTTCGAGCCTATGTCGCTATATCCCTTGTACACAACCGACTTCTTTGACGGCAAGCACAACATTGTTCTGGGCGGTTCGTGGGCTACGCACCCGCGCATTGCGGGACGTGCGAGCTTTGTAAACTGGTATCAGAGGAACTACCCTTATGCGTGGGTTGGAGCCAGGCTTGTTCGTGATATCTAAGTTTGATTTAGGAGCAGGGGTAGTGAGGTATGGGGAGCAGGTTCCTGGAGTTTCTCTTGTCATAAACGACTGTTTTAGTAGTCGGTTGGCTGTTTTGGTGGTGTTCCTTTCATGGCGGTGTTTTATCAAGGTCCAGATTGTCACAATACCTAAGGTACCTAGGGATGAAGGGGAAGATTGTCACTCACTTGAGATAGCAAATGTATTCTTATCATCTATGTTCCAGTATCGGCCCCTCAGAGTGTGGCTTTTGAACTCCTCTACCAAAAGATTGATGTGGTGTACCTTTTCCATCCTTGGTACCCCTTCTCGTAAACATAGCACATTAATAGGTCCAACTTTTGTCCAGAGTCCCTAGCAAATCTTATACTAATCCTGAACGCCATTTCATTGCCTGGATGCTGAATCTTTGCGGTCAATAGAGATACACCATGAGTGATCATGAGGGCTCGGCGAGCTGGACACGACCCCCCTGGGTCTTTAACAGGGCCCGTCTCCCAAAGACGAGCACTTGTCTCGGCCTAGGTGGGCGCGGCGTTGTTTTGTCTGCCTCAGCCGCGCTGCTCAGCTGTTCAAGCTACCGTAGATATCGAGGAGCTGCTCAAACACGTAGCCAGGAAGCTTAATCCCGTTCTCTGTGATGAGCTTGGAGATGAGATCAGGGGGCTATATATCTGTCAGATAATTGAAAAAGAGCAAAAGAATGGGATACCAACTGTAAAGTCGACAGCATCAACGGGCTGCTTGCTCTTGGTGCTGATGGAAAAGTCGAGCACGTCCTGCTTGAAGCCAATGTCTCGTTGGTCCATGACAAACTTGCGGGCAAACTTGTGCGTTTCGACAGCGACATAAAAGGGCACGCTAGCCTGAGCAGCCAACTTGGAGATTTGCAGAGTTCCCATACGAGAAATGATGCCGCCGTTGGAGGTGACGGCCTCGGCGCCGACAATCACCATGTTGACCTGTCGCAGCAGACCCATGACGTAGGCGACCGAGGCCTCTGCAATCTCAGCAACCGGGATACCTTTTTCACGGAGCTCACGGACGACGCGGTCACTCTCCTCCACGCGCGTCTCTTCACGAACATAGATGACCTTGAACTTGGCAGCTCCGAGCTCCTGCACCGCACGCTCCAAGATTCCCACGACTGATCGTGAGGCACCGTGTGTGAGAATGCACTGCCCCTCGCGGACGAGCCTAAAGCCTGCGTCGGCAATACCTTCACGAGCGGCGTTGGCCCTCGCCGCAAAGAGGCGGCCATTGCGGAGCAAATGCTGTCGCACCGCATCGAAGCTGCCGTCCTGCTGGCGTAGAGACGAGACGAGGTACTGCAAGAAGAGGTCCGTTCCGGCGGATAGGGGTACCGGGTTGGCGACAGAGTCCTTGAGACGGTCAGAGTGGACCTTGACCATCTCGAGAGTCTCAAAGACTGTCGTCGAGGGGTGGGCGTTTAGCAGCGCGATGAGGGACTCGATGGCGGCGACGGGCTTGGTTAGGTGGGGGTCTGATTCGAGGAGGCCGCGGTAGGTCGACACGATGCTGGAGGGGTTGTCAGCGAGGTGAGGAGGGTGTAAGAGTTAGGGAGGCGCACTCAAAGTCGGAGGTTGAAGATGGCTGGTCCTGCTGCTCGGCCGGAGCGGCGGCTGCAGAGTATTAGCGGATGATGACAACTAGGGATCGAAGGGATGAGCTCACGGGTTGCTTCGACGGTCGCCATTGTTTGGTCGTGGAGAGGATGTCGCCGTCTCTTCTATGAGCGGATGATGATATTCCCAAGTCTGGATTTGGTGGAGGGGAGATTTTGACGCTGGTGAGTCAGTGAGAGCTCTCCAGTCCCGTCACTTTTGGCGGGGTCGGCGGGGAGCGGGGCCGAGCGATAACACCGCTGAACGATAGGGGAGTATGGGTGTATCCCCTATAAAGATGGTCAACATACTGCGTAGTAGGTACCATGATGGTAGATTACACCTGTGTTCAATACCCAATTCGCGAGTAGTTGTGAATGACCACCCTCAATTCAATGTCTAGCCAGTTGAATCGCATCATTCTATAGCGTGCTCAAGTCTGGCCATCTGCAGGGTCCATCATCCACTTACCTACCCTACAGTAAAACGGTAGTGCCCCGCGCTTTGCCCCTCCACCGATCCGAGTGCCCCTCCTAGACGTCGCAACACCACATTAGCACCATCACCAGGCAGCTCTTTTCCCTCTTCACCTCTCTTTCCAAACACCTCAAAAATACACCCCAATGGAGCTCCTAGACCCCGCCACAGGCACCCCCCTCCCGAGCGACGCCATCCAGCGCATCCTCTTCGTCGCCAACGCTGTCCACGTCTACAACATCCCTCCCCTGACGTCTACAAAGGGCTACTCTGCCAGCGCCTGGACCGCCGATCCCAAGCGGCACATCTTCACCGCCCGGCTGCGCATCCTCGAGACCGCCTACGAGTCGCCCTCTTCCGAGAACAAGCTCAAGGTCGACGCTGTGCTTGAAGACGCCTCCACTGGGCAGCTGTTTGCCGCTGCACCTTACACCGCTGCTGCTGTTGTCGAGCCTGTGCTGGATAGTAGCCGTTTCTTTGCTCTTACTGTGAGGGATCCGCAGGGTAGGCGCGCGGTGTTAGGTATTGGGTTTGAGGAGCGCAGTGAGGCATTCGATCTTTCCATTGCTTTGCAGGAGGCGCGTAAAGCTCTTGGTTGGGAGGGAGAACAAAGTCGACCGGCGGCTAAGAAGGAGGAGGAAGAGAAACGGGATTACAGCCTCAAGGATGGAGAGACCATCACAGTGAGCTTTGGCGGCTCCAAGTTTGGCAGGCGGAAGCAGCAGAGTTCGCCAGCGGGAGGATCCAGCTCGGGAGACTTGCAATCCTTTGCTCTTCCACCACCGCCGCCAGGACCCAGTGGTGCAAAGGGTTTCTCGCTGCCACCTCCACCTAGCTCACAGGATGTGAAGCAGCAGAAGCAGCAGTCAGCCAAGGATTTAGGATTTGACGACGGACAATTTGGAGAGTTTGCGTAAAAAAGGACCAATTTGGGTGGTAGATTGATATATTAGCGACATGGTTTTTTGAGAAAACGTAGGTATACATTCACCCAAAAATGAGCAGCCTGGATACAATTGTTTTGATGCTAATGCTGGTTTATGCTATTAATGATATAATGAAGATGACCTAGTCTTACAGAAAGAAGTGCTCTTTGTTGCTTTGTGCTCCATTGATTATATCCAAGCTTTCTCGTTGTACATATTGAAACATGTTTAATCGTACCCATGCATACTTGTATCGGACATTGGTAGTAATAAACACAATGGCCAAGCACTTGCTTTGGCTCATGTTTCGGGCCATGCGTTCTGGAGACAAGGGAGGCTGAACCGTCTCTTCCTGATAGCCATGGTGCGGACATCACCAGATGCCTCTTCCAAGTCAGTTGCTTCGACAATCGGGGCGTCGGCTGCAACTGGAGTTGCGGGAGTCGTGTCTGATTCAACGCTTTCGCAGGGTGAATCAGGTCTGCATAAGAGATCCTCGCCCGCCTCGTCAACAGTCTCCAGGCCAAGGGTCGCTTCGGTCTCTTCTTGGCCCAGCGAGGACTCGGGCAGATGATGCATATCGCCGAAGTAGCCCATGGGGACAAACTCTGCGCATGCTCCGTTTAGGGGCGTAGTAGGCGTGGGAAGGCTGTAGGACATTGGGCTGTAGACAGAAGGGGTGCCGACGCTGGGGCTATCCATGGACCAAACCTGCTGCTGTTGGTATCCGATCTGCATCCAGCTCTCGCGGCTCTGAATCTCCATGTAGAGTTCGGTGAGACGGGAGAAGATTGCCCTCTCTTGTTCAAAGGCCTCGTTGATCTTTGACTTGAGGAGACCGAGTTGTTTGCGTAGTTTACGTCGGCCCTTGTCTCCGGGAAGACCCTGAAGCTGCGACTCGACGATGGAATACTGTCTCATCAGGTTTGCAGCACGGCTAGAGTGCTGCTGGAGAGCGCTGGTGAGGTATGCCCTTTCCACATACAGGCTCTCGTATGGCCGTGGCGAGAAGACGAGGTGAGAGTTGGCGTAAGGCACAGGTCTTACATCAACACGAGGAGGACGAGCACGAGAACTAGACGAATGTCTTCGGTTCCTCCTCCGCGTGGAAGGACTAGTTGCCGATCCAGATGGTGTCTGCGTGATACCCCCAGGTGATGCTGGAATAACAGGGCATGTCTCTGATTTGGGGATAATAAGGTTCAACTCCTCAGGAGGCGGCGTGATCCTGGCAGCGATGGATGGTAGTGATACCATGTTGTGAACGGTTGAAAATGTCGTGTTCATCTTGAAGGATAGCGTGATCTTGCTAGTGAGAATGATAATGATCGAATCCTCAGTGCAAGATGATCAGCACCCATAACAGATAGTTATTGATCGTCCCTCCCCGTCTCTCCCGCCACCGACAACGCAAGGAAAGCTATATTGGGACGAGGGGTTGGCAGACGCTTTGTCAGTCGGAAACGGTCCCGACAAAGGGCACTCAGCGAGATCCGAACCTTGCCCAGACCTTTTCTTTGCCAACGTACAATTCCTAGCGTTGGGTGCGTTGTCGTTCGTTGTTGTTGGTTGTTCCTGAGGGGGGCGTTGGGGATCCGTGCCACACAAATAAGATCCTGAATAGAACTGGGTTTCTGTTCAGGGACCTGAAAGGGCTTGGTCACCCGGTTTGCCTCTGACAGTTGTCAATGAGCCGCAGAAGCCATCTGGGTCGCTCTGGCCAGGTGGTGGCGTTCTTAGTCCCCGAAGTTGGCTTGGTTCTGAAGCCTCGCGGCAAGGTTCATTCTCTCACTGTGTAACCCAACCGAGAGACAGCCTACCTCTCAGATAGCAAACCCGTCATGTTTTGGTGGGTCGTTGAACCGCCAGAGCCCAGCATCCATGGCCGCCTTCCGGATCGAGGAGATCTCTTGATCGGTGACTGCGCGGTTGATGTCCGCGTATCGGACTTCATTGTCGGCTTCACCATCCTTGGTCTTGCCTCGTTTCTTCTTTCCGACGTGCGCATCTGGGTGGTACTGCTCCATGATGTTGACGAAACAGTCGCGGGACACCTCCTTGGCTAGGAACCTCATGATCTCGGCCCCTTCAGCCTCCTTGCCTGGCATGACAAGATGGCGGATTAGTAGCCCACTCTTGGCGATACCGTCTCCAGTGAAGCACAAGTCTCCGACCTGGGCGTGCATGGCCTTGACACTCTCCCTGGCCGTAGTGGCGTAGTCGTCGGCCTTTAATAGCCTTTTGGAGGTGCTTGGTTCCCACACCTTGAAGTCGGCCAGGTAGATGTCGACCAACCCGTCCATCAGTTCGAGAGAGGCTAGAGAATCAAAGCTTGATGTGTTGTAAACGATTGGAACCATCAAGCCACGGTCCCTGGCATGCAGGATGCTCAGCGCCACCTGGGGCACTACATGCTCTGGGGTGACGATGTTGATGTTGTGGACGTTGCCAACCTCTTGCAACTTCATGTACCAGTCTCCCAGATCCTCGGGTGTAAGATCCATGCCGTTGCGCTGGTGAGAGATGTCAAAGTTCTGACAGAAGATGCACCTCAAGTTACACCCGCTCATGAAGACCGAACCACTACCAGTATGACCTTGGATACAGGGCTCTGTCAACGAGTCAGCAACACAATCCAACACACCGCGCATGACATGTAGCAAACGCAAGGGAGCCAGAAAAAAGCACAGAGCGCACACTGACACTGACCTTCGCCAAAGTGGGGGGCAATGGTGTTGACCTTTACCTTTTCCCCGATGAGGCACATGCCCGTCTTCTCGTACCGGTTGACGCCGCACTCTCTAGGGCAGAGGTTGCAGTTGCGGAGGTGGGCATAAGCCAGGGAGCGCTTCTTGGCCACGTCCCTCGAGCTGAGGGTCTGATACCGAGGGATGTAGTCGTCGAGGAGGAACGGAGGAGCCAGATGCAGGGAGCGGCGGTGGCCAATCGCGGGTAGGCTACGTATCCGGAAGCTCCTGGTGGCACATTGTCTCGAAAGAAACAGCATCATGAGTTGATGCCGAGTGTTTCGAGATTGTGACAATTGCCGTTGCTATGATTGGTGTTGAGTTGAAGCCGCTGGACCGTACTCGAGATATGCTTGTAGGCAGCTTAGTAATGTACTTGTGTGGTAGGTTGGTCTCTTACTGGGGTATATGCACCGAACGGGTCCGAGGTCTAGGAAGTCCAGAGTGTTATTCATGGCGAGCGTTGGATCGGTATTCTTAGACTTGAATTTGAGTGATTGGTTGGAGAAGGTAGGTTTCTTAGTATCTGATTCTGGAAGCTTCATGCTGTGTGACTATGCCATCACCCGACCGCCCAGCTGAAGAACCACTGGTGTGACAGAGTGCACCTCGAAGTGGATTTAGGCTTGTAATTACACTCGAGGAGTTAGAATTCTAAGCAATGATTCTAATGGCTTGGATAGTATGTGCTAGTTTAGGGGTGTCTTCTTATGGGAAGTCCAAGCCAAGACCGTAGCTCGTCTGTCATTGGGTTCTAAGCAACACCTAGGCCTTCAAGCTATGATGATCCCCTGCATCAACTGACAAGACATATATTACAGGATTTTTACCATATTTCGATAAAAATTACAGCATTGCAGTCTGGCTTGATCTGTTTGCCTTGATGTTCGACTACGTTGCAGTCAGAAGCACATGTCAACGAAGGGGGGGGGTGACCATTTTTGCATCACCGAGATCAGAACTGCCCAAATGTAGACCGAATACCAGCGAGGCTCTTCTCAAAAAGCCTTAGATAGATGGTCGTGTTTTCTTTTCGTAGTAATAGTTTAAAGTATTAGACAATGACTCAAGGTATAGTGCATCTAAGGAGTGCCTCCTCAGCAATGTCCTCTTACTGATATACACATTGTGAGCGTGTATCAAATGGCCAAGTTAATATCCCAAGCATCTACTCTTAAGATCTGTTTTGTGAGCTTGCTGAAACAACACGTGTAAACTAGAAAAAAAGTCGTATATATTTGAACCTGACTTGGCAGCTGTTTGCCACTGCCAACACATCTGGATCTCGGTGAATGCTTTTGTGCAAACAAATCCTTGTGTATTCACAATTTCGTTTCTTAGCCTCAATGATTCACTGACAGTGATATCTTACTCTTGGATATTTAAGCTCGTACCTCGAGATTTGCTCTTCTCGACTCATCATACTTCATCATCACCATGACTGCTTGGGGCTTTCTCCTGGCCCTCTTGGCCCTTTGTGCCCTACCTTGCTCCGAAGCTCTTCACTTCACTCCCGAAGCTGCGAATAATACGCTGCGCAGTGTCTATGACTACATCATCGTTGGTGGAGGCACCGCTGGACTGACCATTGCCAACCGTCTTTCTGAGAACTCATCTGGTAGCCCAATATCTGTCGCTGACATGGGACAATCTGGCTGACGCTCTGCAGTTTCCGTCCTCGTACTCGAGGCTGGCCCTCTGTACATACATATCCAAAAAGCTTCATCGCCCATAACTAACCTCTCATTAGGGACGATGCCAGAAACCTCACAATCCCCAAGGGCTTGCTCCCAGTCCCAGGAGTCATCGGCAACGGCGGCTGGAGCGAATACGAATGGGGCCTCATCACAGAACCGCAAACCTATCTTAACGATCAGTATATGGAAATACCTCAAGGAAAAGCCATTGGAGGAAGTTCCATCCTCAATGGCCTCTGCTGGACAAGGGGCCCTGCCTCTGACTATGATGGCTGGGAGAAGCTGGGCAACAAAGGATGGTCTTGGGATGACATGCTTCCCTACTTCAAGAAGGCATGTTCAAGAAATATTAAACTATATGGAGCAGAGAGTTAACCCACCATAGTCGGAAAACTTCAAGGCAAATGCCTACAAGAAGGATGCCGATGCTCTTCGCATCCATCCTGACTTGTCTATGCATAGAAGCAATGGCTCAGTTCACGTCTCCTATCCTCGATACTTCTACAGCCAATCCAGTGAGTTGCCCATCGGCTTTGATTCAACGACTATTTCTGACTTTGATGTAGCAAATGTGCTCGACGGATTCTCAGAGCTCGGCATACCCATCATTGACGACCCAAACAACGGGACGGCCGCTGGAGCAATGCTTCTCCCATCGAGCATGCATCCCACCAACCAAACGAGATCAGATGCCAGAGAGGCTCACTTCAATGTGGCAGATCGCAGGTCTAATCTTCACGTTGCTATAGGACATACTGTTACACGCCTCATTTTGGAGCCCCATAACCGATTCACGGGAAGTCGACGTGTCGTTGGTGTAGAGGTAAGATACCCAAGGCCTCAAGCGATCAGGGTTGAGCTGACATTATGGTAGTTTGCAGAGGATGAGAAAGCAAAGAAAAGAACCGTTGCCTGCAAGAGAGAAGTTATCGTATCTGCTGGGGCCATCTTCTCTCCAACTCTGCTTCAGGTTTCGGGTATCGGACCAGCCAAGATTCTTGAATCACTCGACATTCCCGTCGAGATCGACTTGCCTGGGGTTGGATACAATCTGCAGGACCATCCCATGATATACGCTACCTATTACTGTAGGTCTCCCCTTGCCTCGTCACGTTCAAACTGACCCTCGACAGACCGCAATTCTTCCCTCTTCAAAAGCGACGCAATCATTGGCGAAGTACATGACCAGGTCTCTCGCATGTACATTAACAACAGAACTGGCATGTCTATCTGTATTTTATATTAGGTATGGGATTGGCTAACAGTGTTCAGGCCCCTGGACAGCGCCTCTCATCAACACAGTTGCATTCCCCAACCTTCAGTCCGTCACTGAGTCCTAGAAAGATTTCGTTGACGACAAGAGTTCAGGAAAAGCTGTTCCTGATGATGCCCCTCACTCAGTCAAGATTGGCTACGAAGCGCAGAAGGAGATTCTTGGACAACAAGTCCTCAGTAACGACATGGGGATATTTGAGACAATGGCCAACTCCTGGGGTCAGCTTACTGTCGCTGCCCAAAAGACCTTTTCTCGTGGTACTGTCCGGCCTTCAACCTCCTCCATCTTTGATCCACCTCTTCTCGATCCACGATACTGCTCCGACCCCATTGACTGCGAGATCATTGTCCTTGGTCTTCAGCTAAACATGAAGCTTATCGAGACAAAGGCAATGAAGGAACTTATGCCAGAACCATACACGGCGTTCAACACGACAGATCACGACAAGTTGATGAGAGAGGTTCTAAGAGGACTCACCACTGAGAGGCATCCATCTGGAACTGTCGCCATGATGCCTCGAGATCTGGGAGGAGTAGTTGACCCTGAGCTGAGAGTGTATGGAACGTGCAATCTGCGTGTTGCTGACGCTAGCATCATGCCGCTGATCCCTTCGGCTCATCTCCAGGCCGTTGTATATGCCATTGCTGAAAAGGTGAGTCTTGGTCGGTGATGGTGTCGAAGGTAACTAATGAAGCATGATAGGCAGCAGACATGATCAAAGCGACAACTCCAGACTGTCCACATGGGCCGTTTCCCCCGAAACCTCGACCAACTAACTGATTTTCTTCGCTCTGTTACTTGGAAACTTTGAACTTGGAGATACTTTGTAGAATGCTTCGTCTTGTATACCGTTGGGTAATAGATGGCATTAGTTGTAAATAAAGCATGAAGCATCACATAGCGATAGAGATGGGCATACTACTCGTGCTCTCTGTTGGTTTAGAAAGACCAAAGCTAACTAGACGATAACTATGCAAAAACTGAATAATCAGACCAATTCATCATCCCTCTCTGTACGTGTCCGAAACTTCTAAGCCTCCTCTCCCAGCTCCGTGTCCACATCCAACAGACTGTGATACTCGCTCGGCAACACAGATCTAAGTTCTTCCATCTTATCCTCATACACCGCAATCTGCGAGTAGAGTGCCTTTCTAACCCCGGCCTCATCCTCAGAGAGCCCCATCTCGTGAAACGACAGCTCAAGCCTCTGTCGACGCAGTTCAGCATCCTTGACGGCCAGCATGTCCTGTAGTTCGACTCTGTCGCGTATGAGAACCTGGTTCTGCGCGTCCATCTGCGACGCTTCCTCCAGTTTGGCTTTCTGCTTGGTCTCCCATTCGGACACGCGCTCAGGCCAGGTCGGCGTCACGACAGAGACAAGCGTCGGGCGCTCCTCTATGCGCCGCGTCTGCTGGACGCCCGGATGCTGTTCGGCGGCTGGAATCGCAAAGAGGGGAGACTTGTGGCCTTTGCCTTTGATGCGGTAGAAGCGTGTCAAAAGGTCGACGGGCACGATGCCTCGGGCATAGACTTTGCCGCCTCTTTCTTCCATCCACATGCGCTCGCCGCTAACACCGCTGGCCTTCCAGATCTTTTCCTTCTGCTCGATCTGGGCTTCGGCCACGTCAATCATTCGGTGGATGTAGCCAGTGATGTCGTCGCCGATGTTGGCCAGAACGAACTTGTCTTGAGGGTATGCAACCTCTCGACCCCCTGAGATGCCGTCAACGCCGTCGCGACTCATCAGCTGCAGCGGGACCTCAGCCTCGTTACCAAGGATATCAAGGGCATTGGCGTAGCTGATTTCGAGTTCGTGCATTCGACCGACGAGGTGCTGATGATGGAGAAGCCACTGGCCAAGAAGAGTGTTGCGAGCGCCGGCGAGCTCATCGGCCGTGAAATGGGCTCGGTCCTCATCTGTGTCGCCTTCTACGCCGACGGGGAGGAGAGACATGAGACCACCGGTGGAAGAGTACTCGTGGTCGAGAATCTCAAGACACTCGTTGGCGTGCATGACAAGGTCATGATGCGTCATGTACGGACGACGGGTAGCCCCCTGCTTAGCCGAAGAACCCGTGTCAGGGACTCTGGTCAAAGGACAGTGATGGACAATGCCGTTCATCTCAGACTGCTCCTTGACGGTATTCGCAAGAGCCCAGAGGGGCTCATGATGCGAAACATCATCGTTTTCGTAGGGTTTGTCGAGCTCGACCAACCAATCAAAGGCCTGGTCCCTGAAGTCGTCAAAGTCACCTTGCTCCTCCCCCAAAATGTCCAATGCACATCCGGTAAGTGTCGGGGCGAGCTTTCGGATGAGATTGGTGATACACTGAGCATGCTGCTTGAGAGCTAGCAGAGTGGGAGCGCGCCCGGACGAGAGATAGGAGCAGTTGACGTGCTGGAGGAGGGCGATGTCCTCAGCTTCCAGTATGCCCGAGTTGGGCAGAGTCCAGGTAGACTTGTAAGCGATTGCATAGTTGTTGGCGGGGATGTAGAGAGGGTGAACGGGACGTGTCTTCTCCTGTCTCTCATCATCCGAGGAGTCTTCTGAAGATGATGACATTGCGACTGCGGGTGAGTGGTGATGGGTTCAGAGCAGACTGTGCAAGTTCAGAGAGGGAGGTGAGGAGTGAACATGAGAACAAAAGAAGGCCGCGGATGAAAGAAATAAACGTGATCCTTTGGTCTTATACCAGTCTCAAGTCCAAGTTCCTTCCAAAGGATCCAGAATTAGCATGATGTTTCCTGAGGGTGGCTTGGCTATGGGAGGCTATCCAGAGAACAAAGAAACCTATTCTTTGTTTGCAGTATCCCCGCCACAACATGGTGGACGCATTGACATGCGTAGCTTGCCTTGATAGGAGCTGCAGTGAGAATGGGTGACGGTTCTTTGTTCTTTTCTCTGGACAAGGACGAAAACACAGGGAGTTGGTGGCATCGAGTTGCAGCTGGCATAGTTGCCTGCTCTTATAGCAATGCTTGGAACGGATTGTCCGAAACTTGCTATGATCCAACAGCTGCATGCTTTGTTGAATGGCAAGTATGTCTATAGCTTTCTGTGCAAACTGGGTGTATTATATCGGCAAACCACCCGCTCAAAGCCTCTCAGACATCTTTCTTCATCGTTGCCTCATGGCAGAGGCTGAAGCTACCAGGAACGCTTTAATACCATCCCAAGCGCTATACAGTAAGACATGTTCACGATAGCCATACACATAAAAGTGACGAGGGTGGTAGTCCTTTCGTATCATCTCCGAGCTAGCATCAATGGTCTTCTTCTTCAATAGGTCTGTACCTGGGTCGACCTGCAGGTCACCAGCTCGCTCGGGAAGCTACAATAAGCTTGTTTCCCCCCTGCCTGTCGAGACCCTCGCTTTCAAAGCTGATAGGCAGGTTTTTTTGTATCGCAATCTCAACTATGTTTGCTTGTCCGCTCACCTGAAGGCTGAGTTCCCCTGCCCCTGTCACCGAAGTGGCCGAGAAACGGCAATTAGAAAGCTTATCCCTTTGCCATATGGCTAGTAGCCCCATCTTTCAGGAGACTGAAGGATGTAGCTTCAAAGTGGACTTCTCCGGGGCCAGGTCCAGTCCCGAGGACGTGGGATTGCTACAGCTCCATCAGATGTAGCGTTGTGTTCCACCAATCACCAGCCAACCGCTGGCTGTCGCGATGGATGAGAGGCATCGCTTCCAGTTACCCTGACAATGTCTTTGCCTACATGTACATGTCCATCCCGAAAATTCGAAACTTGTGCAGCGACGAAGACGGGTCGATGGCCCAGAGGCGCTGTCAGACTTGAGAGGTGATGTTTGGGGCGCATTCTAGATTGGAGGCACAGGCACAGGCACGGTCACAGTGACGCCTCAGTCATTAAGGTTCAGTACCTTTTATCAGGCGTAGCCCAGAACCCAAGAGGCCTCATCGCCTTGCTCAACAGGACAACTCTAGATGATACAGCGTTACATACCTGCTGCAACGGCGACAGAGTGCCACAGCGGTCTGGAACTTTTCAACTTGTCATCAACCACCTGGACACTTGTTCAACGCAGGCTGGAGGCACGGTCGGCAAAGCCGCGACAAGCTTTGGCGAACGGTTGCGGGACCGGGATGATACCCAGGCATGAGCCTGTTGAAGCAGCGGGCGAGCAGGGCTACGAATGGCAAATGCGAGGGGCACACGAGGGGAATTCAATTAATTCATGGTAGATGAATGAAGACACAGGGGTTGCTACTGGCTGGAGGAGTCGCCCGGAGGAGGGGATGGGCCAAGCCTCGACCCCGGTCGACCAGTGCCAGTTTGGGAGTTTGATGCCCGGAGCAGACCATCTCAGCTGAACCAGCATCACCAGTGGGCGTTAGCGCCTTTTTATCAATTGGCTCGTGCATGTGCCCTGGAATGGGTAAGGGGATGGGATACAGTAGAGGAGACTACTATACTGTACAGTACGGCCAGCGGTGAGAGAGAGTGATGATGTCGTTGGCATGATGGGCAGAAGCGCAGAGGCATCAGAGCGATCAAAGGAGGGTGGAATGATCGAAATAGGGGAAAATTAGGAAGCGCCTCCTTGCCTCGTTAGGCTGTAGCCAGAGAACTAGAGGCTCAAGGGAGACACAAAATCATGACGATAGATCGGATCAGCGTGACCTTGCCGTTATGGGCTGCCTTGATTTACAAACCTGGAGATTTCTAGGCTGCTACTGTACTATGCAGGATGCCACTGTCTAGGACAAAGGGAGGGGAAACAACACTTGATGTCATTGGCACTGGCAACGGCAAAGACGGCGTCAAGATTGTCAAGACCCAAGAAACGGGTAGGAGAAGCTCCGAGAGAATAGACTGACTTTTTGCTCATTTGGCCAACGACAATGTTGGCGCCACGAGATTGGATGTAGAGTCGAAATAGCCTTGGCAGATGGGGAGGATTTGCATTCCCGTCCCAAGATCTTCGCCGGGATTGATTCATTGACTTTTTGCCTGACAGTTTTAGTTTTTGGTGTTGAGCAAAAAGGATGGGTTGCGTCTGACATCACACACACAATCTGCAAGAGCACATCCCTGTCGAGCTGTTTCGTCGTGGCTGTGCTGCATCTTCGATTTCGACATTGCAAGCTGAAGGTCGCAGGAACTGGCGCTGTATCCTACTGCTGTATGGCTGAAACCCAAAGTGAGAAGGACAAAGAGCCACAACGGCCATGGTCCAGGCCTCGGATGGAACCTCACGCTCACGAGGTCATCAGAAAAGACAGACTCAACTGCGACACGGGCAAGCATCTCGATTGACCCAGATGTGTTTGACTTGTCGTACAGGATGATGAGAACCAATGCCTTAGCGGGACAAACTATCTGGTGCATGCGTCCATCCACGCGCCTTTACCAATAGTGCCGACGGTCTGGAGCCAAGCTTCGACAGCCGAGATGAGATGAGGAAAAAACCCAGGCCACTTCCCGAGGCCCGCACTGGTTTACGGTAGATTCATGGATGATTTAGAGTTAGGGTTGCAGTTTTCTTTCCTTCCTGTCGCAAGGAAAAGGAAGGGTCCCTTTTTCGTATTAAGTTGACGGTTGCTGGTTTCAGAGGTTGGATTGCCTTGGTCATCCCGTCTTTATCCCACCCATGTTATCGTCCAGGATCTATTCCCACCCGTCCTTGGCGGTTTGCCCACTCCTC